ATTTTATACAGAAAGGTAAGCAGGATATCCTGATTTATCTCTCTTCTATTTGTTTTGAATAAATATTGTAGTAGATATTTCATCATTTTTGCAACTTACACCCTCAGTAGTTTTCACTTCTGCATTTTTGAGGACAACAGTTATAACACTTTCTGTCATTATTTTTCTCCTCTCACTGTCTACACTGAGACTGGTAAAGTTACAATATAGTGTGTGTGTGTTGGAAGAGAGGATTGAAGGTGGGAAGGAGCTTGAAAGAAAACAGCAAATGAAGAAGAGATCTGTATCACTTTCTCTAGACATGCAAAGATGTGTGGAAGATATGCAGAACTGCCTGCTCCGATTGGTTGTTTTATGAAATTGCGCGCACACACACATAAACATATATGTGCACACATGTATACACACACACATATATGTCTACATTTATATGACATATTTGGTCACACAGTTCTGAGGGACACCTTCAGAGACCTTCCTCAATAGTATGGCTTATTCAGATACATGAATATTTGGATGCTGGCTTTTAGTCTTGGGATGGTTTTTGTTTTAAAGTACCCACTTATTGATATGATGTCCAATGGCTACTGCTTTTGCAGCCATTCTTTGTCATTCTGAAAAGCATGTCTGCACACAGTCTGTTGACCTACTTGCCCCCTTTGTCATCCAGATGACTCTGAGGATCAACCTGTCTAAAATTCCATGGGAAAAAAATCGAACTGATGGAACACTCTAATTTTAGACAAAGCAAGAGATTCCCATGATCTACTTAGTCACAACTACTGTTACCTTATCTAGAAGAAACACATTTCTTCTGTTTTATCATATTTGCTTCACTGTTTATTCCTCCTTATTCAGGTACACATCCTTAAATCCATGTGAATATATCTATTTAAGCACTTCCCATTGTAGTTAGAAATAACTGCCTCCCCCCCCCCCAGTCCAATCTAGGTGGTCACTCAAGGTGCAGAAAGGTCACAAATCAAATTTGAGATGAAATCAGTCAGTTCTACATATTCATGTCCAGGCACATGGGCTATTTGAGTATTTGAGCCTTTTTTTCTTTAAATATCATTTACCCATTCTGCTTAAAAATAAATGAAACAACAATTTCACCCACAAGTGATAGTTGTTTTCTGTGCTGCTCCTTCATGAGGTTTTGTTGTTCATCCTGGGAAGCTTCTTTAAGGGGTGTGTATGTGTGTGTATGCATCTGATTTACTGGTCTGTACAATGCCACATGTCTTTAAAATTACAGTGCCCATTTCCTGCTGAAATAATTTCTACAAAGAGTGGCTCCTATTACAGCAAGAGGAGCATGGACGTCATGATTTATTATTATTTATGGTCCCAGGCCCTTGTTTATGCACGATGGGTTAGGTGCTCAGGATAGAAATGCCATTATGCAAATGACATTGAATGTCCTTACTGAGCCTAAATAATTTTTGTGTTGGACGATTAAACCTCATCTGTTATTGATATGGGCTGCAGTCGGGCTATTAAAGAGTCCCAACAGTACTTACTCCCAGTAATGGGAAAATTGAGAGGAAGAGGCTAAACAATTGCCTCAAGTGTGCTGTGATTGTCTGGTAGGAGTGGAACATAACGAACCCTCTGAATAGAAATCGTGTTTACTACTTAGGGATAAATAAAAAGAGAGAACATGCAATAAATTACACTTTGCAATTTGAATCAGTGCACCAGAGAATTTGCGTACTTTCAATTTATTTATTTGATTTTTTTTGGGGGGGGGAGGGGTAAATACCAAAAGTAGCCAGGAATAATTCCTGCAGAGTACTCCGCTCCGACTGGGGGAGGGGGGCCTGAGAACCAATCTTTGCGGCGTACATGGGAGCCACATTGTCATTGCTCCTTTCTTTTTGACACAGCTGTGTGGTCACATTTTGATCAGTGTTGATAGCTTATGAATTCCAAAATTGACAAAATTTACAGAAAAATGAGGATAATCCATCTTCCTTAGCAGCCTGTCAGGAGCTGGCTATACTTCATAATCTTCAATTACAGATGCTATTTTCAGACATTTACATGCAGATATTAGAACAAAATGAAAATGAGAAACAAAGAGTGAATGGAAATGCAGCTATTTGTATGTATAAAAGAAAAACAACAGGTAAATTCTAGGCATTTAGATTGGATTTGGGGTTCCTTTTAGAAAGGCAGAGGATGGCTGCTTCTGCATAAGTACTATACTGTGAAAAAGTAAAATGTAGCATACAGTTTCCAAGATGCAGATAATCTGAAGGTTTAGGTCACAAACAGGTCAGTTACTCTAAAGTATGAAATTAAATGTGTTCATGGCAGGTTGCCTTGGCTAATTCCCACTATTTTAGGAGGGAGCTTGGGACTGCCTCATTTCTAATTTTATTTGGGTTAAAATGAAACACAACTGGTAATTTTTTTTTTTTTTTAACAAAATACAGTTTACAGGAATATTCTGTTTCAAAAAAGAAGAAAAATATTCCATGGCTGAAATCAAACTTTGTATCTTTAAAGAGAATAAGAGCCAAATGTTGCTGAAAACAAAGGGAAATTGGAGTTCAGCTTCAATTAGCTGTGTAAATAGGTTTTACTCCAAGGAAGAAATGGTTTCAATGGTACTATTAGATAGAACAGGAAATGTAAATGTGAATGTAGATTATAAGGCAGGCAGGTAGCCAGTGATGTGGCACTGAAGACTCTTTAAAGTAAAGATTTTCAGATGATCTTCCAGTTCAAGCGTAAAGGAGTTAAGAAACCCTTTGTAATGAAAGTTTCTGTTCATATAAAATTTAAGAGAGACTAGCACCAGTGCTATTTATGGGTACAGCTAAACAGACATGGTGTTTCTGAAAAAAATGGAGAGATCAATTAGAAACGCTTTGTATTAAGCTCTGTGAGTCATACCCACCATTTTTTCCCTTTGGGACCTTAAATGGAGGTTTTGGTAGCTCACTTACTGTGTGCTAATTCTGCCTGTATTTATTCATTTATTTAGAAGTACTATGACTGTTCTCTATTAGGTGTGAGTTTTTCTAATCTCACTAGAGACACTTTCTTTTGCTGTGTTTGCTTAGCAGCACTTTGACAGTCTGAAATAATGGAGCTTCAGTGACCTGGACTGTAGGGGAAGATCTGAGCTAGTGTATTTCAAGCTTTATTAATATTTCTGTGCTTCTGAAAGTGATCAGAGGAGTCACTTGTTATCCTTCATTCTCCACTAAACATCTGCTTGAAGGAGACATTATTACCTTATATGTAAGGGAGACCATAAGGAGGGAAAACAAACATTTGAATTGGCAGGGGTGTTTTGGTCTCAACATTTTGCAATACATGGTGGAGGAACCTGCATGTTTTCAGTATGAATCAGATTTTAGGCTGATGTCCTGAAATGTCCAGGTAAAACAGGAGCATGTTGAATTAAGCAGAGAATTTCCTTGCCACTACAATCTCTGAAAAGTCTCAGGTTAATATCTTTCCTAAAGCTGTAAAAGATTTTTCAGTAGCAAAGACGCTCTATGTATCGTTTCTGTCTTGCTTCAATCTACTTTTCTTAGGAAGCATGCAGTGCACCCTGTCAGTACAAAAACTGTAAACAAAAAATATTGAGGCATCCACCCTCAGCAGGGCTTTACTTTGTTCATTCAAACCTCTGTTGTACTGGACAAAGTTCAAATAAATATCAAAAAACAATGTGATGTGTGCAGGATATATTCTCCTTTGAAAGTGTTACAAATCAGGAGAAAAGTATAGGGTGCGAGATCTCACAACTAGTTATAGCATGGCAAGGGAGTTCAGAGCTTGCTTTCTATTTATGTTACATGAATTGTTCAAAAAAGATGCCCTTTTGCCCTCCATCTCCCTGGCCTCCCCCTGACGCAGAGTGACTCCTGGTCATAACACAGTGAAAAGGATAAGGTCCAGAACGGGGCTACTATGAATTGCTGTCCAGTGAAAATTTGTTCTTCGTGGCTGAGGTAATTTCTATAGAACGTGGCTGAGAAATTGAAAGTAGAAGAAGCCAAATGAGGAAAGGTGGACTCTCTTTGTCTTTATGTTTAAGTTGCAGAGCATATCCAAAGGCTATTTCCTTTATATCTTCCTGTGCTCATGGACACGATACATGTTTGCACATGGGACATGCAGGGAGCTATTCCTGCCATAAGCACTTACAGGATGAAAGTGAAAGTCTTGTATATCATGAAGGCTTGAAAAAGAGTACATAAAAAAACAGGTATTGTCTTGAGTGTAGTTCAATATTTGTTGCGTCTTTCTTAGGAAGACAGCCATGTGCACTTCAGCCTTTTCTATTGCCCCCACTAACTTTTTGAAAGCAGCTGCTGGCAAAAATATGTATGATAATATAGTCTCTGTCTCAGGTTCCCATTCCATAAAAGTGATGGGACAGTACATTTCATGGAGAGAAGGAATAAATAACAATAAAATGCTCTGGTGTCCTCAGAGTACACCTAATACAATATAAGTATGTCTAACACAATGTGAATACAAAGCACTGGTGTTTGACTGCCTGCACAGCCTGGTGCTGTTGGCAGCATTTTTGTGTGGAGGTGATCTAAGGACTCCAGAGAGGTGATATTTATCACCTCTGAGTTTAAAATAGAGAAGACTGGTTGTGAAATTTGAACTAGAGTAGAACCTTCCACGACGAAAGCCGGCAATGGGAATACTATGAAGGCTCTGCTGTATTTTACTGTCTCTGCACAGGAAAAGGCCAACCTTTTCAGCCCTACCCTTGGCCTGCTCATTTATTGGAAAAAATATGCATGATGTTGTATGTGTTGCAGTGCTGTTTGTCCTTGAGCCATTCTGCAAGGTGTCTAGCATTTCATCCTTCTATCTTAGCTGGGATGCAGAATAGAACGCATACAAAGCCTCATGCTGCTATTCAGAAGTTTCTCCTTTTGTTTTGTCCTTATCACTCTCTCCTTTTATATAATCTCCGTTTCACGTGTCTGTGTTTTCTCTCCTCCATGCTATGGCAGTGGTGCTCCATGCTGATGAGACAGTACGTGGTACAACCGCAGGCAATCATTTTTCAGGTAATTTCTAGGGTACTGAACACCTGACTCTTGCTTTTTCACATATCAAGCAGGTCGGGCTCCCCAGTGAACAGGGAGGGGCACTGTGGTTGTACCCGGGTTGAGTGGTAGCAGATGATAACAGAATGTGAACTAATTTTGGTAGTGATAATCCATCTCCACCTCTGTGCACTGGGATGAAATGAAATCCACAATGGGCCTTTCCGCTCTTTTAGGAATTTGGAGTTCTTCTGCTAGTCCATGTTGCAGCTTCTCATCTTCTTAGAAGGTCAGAATCAAACTTCTCGTGATCCATCAGCTGACTGATGTATCTCATTGCTTAGTGGCAAGAGCCATGTTTTGCAGTAACACGCCACTTTCTCATTCCAAAACCGTGTACTTGTCTTAGCTTGACGCAGACACTGTTCCTTCCTACTTGCTTTTTCACTGCTGCTAAGTCAGCAGGCCTAGCTATCTTTTCAGTGGCAGGAGCAGACCATAGCAATGGCTATGAGCTGTGTTATAGGTGTGATATAAAGAAGCAAGGGAAGCTTTTGTGGGCACAAGAGGCAAATCATTGCCTAGAGCTGGACACAAAAGGCAGTGAGAACTGGTATGTGAGAAAGCTGTTTCAGTGTTTGTTTTATACGGGTGCCTGAAATAGCTATGATCTAGTGTATGATTGGTACAGTCAAGTGTGGTCTCAATTCAGTCATTTGGGGATGGATCTGTAAAACTACTCCTCCAGGGGTAAAAAATAGCTGGTAGCAGTTTCTGTCAGGGGAATGGGAAGTGGCTGGAATGTTTCTGTAGTTCACTGTTCTTGCCTCCTGGAAGACCTGAGACCTTGGGGCCATGAGATAAGACGAGCAGTGGAGGACATCTCCAATATGTGACAAACTACCTACCTGAAGATCTGGAGAGCACAGAAACCTTTACTTCTCACAGCTGCATATTCTAGAGTCCTCTGCCAAATGCTGCTTGAATATGGACTTTCCTCCAAACTCTGCTGAAAAGCAGTAGTATGTGTGGACATACAAAAGCTGTCCCATGGATTCAGAGTCCGGGCACTGAAGGCAAATAATTCTTGGAACTCCATCTGCAAAATGGCTACAATGGTTAAGCCTCTCCACTCATCCTCCCGTAACTTTGCTGAGAATAGTAATAGACTAGATTGTCTCTGCCTTATGCATCAAGGTCATACTGTCAAGGTCTTGCTTTTCGCACAAGGACTGTAAAATGCAGTGGAACTTCCCCTGCTGGGAAGGAGCAATAGGATACCATCTTGCTTCAAGAAGTGTTTATACTTATTTGTGCTAGTCCTTGAAACTTTTTGCTTCTGTTATTGCAGCTGATAAATTGCTTTTGGCTTGATAAGACTAGTCTGAATTTACTTAATGTCATGTTTTCAGGCCATTACAGTTAAAATGTGAGATCTAATCCTGCTGCTCCAAGACCAGCTATAAGGGAGTTAAAACCAAAGAAATTTATGAAGTTTTAACATTGCAACCTATTCTAAACATTTAAATGTGAGGTTATCTGCCTTGAATTGTGTTGGTACAGTTGCATTTGTGAAAGGTACTGGGATCATGCAGCTGTCTTTCCTGTAAAGGGGGAATAGAACTGCATCTGCCTGCCTCAGGTCTGCATATGACCTGACATTTGGTATGCTTGGATACTTTCCCTCAGGTGTGCTTAAATTGTAAATTGATCACCTTCCCCCGGGTAGGCATAAAACAGCATTTATGCTTTGCCTATGGGAGGGCTATGAATCAGAGTATGTCAGGAAGCCCTGAAGAGAATTACTACTCTGAGTATAATGGATTTACAAACTTTTTAAAAAACATCAGCAATTAAATAATGACACATTTTCATGGGGTGTGTATTCTTTTCTAGATATTACAATCACCAAACTGCAGCCTAGCAGAGCAAAATGGTACCTTTTTTTGCTCTGCTGCTTTGCCTACTGATTTGCAGTTTCTACTACACCACCACCAATTGAGGACAACTCTACAGGACTGCAGCCGAGTTTTTATTACTCCACTATTTTTTTTTCTAGATAAGTGCATTAGAGAATTAACTAGCCTTCCTATACAGGGCTACGCACAATGCAGAGGGAAGGGGTAGTTATAGACATATGACATATGACAAGGTATGGAATGGGAATGCTGTAGTGTATACAAATTGCTGCGCTCTGTAGAGCTGCGAAAAGCATCTTGCTGCAATGGCAGTGAGAGTAGGAAGAATCTGAGGCAACTGATGGTCAGCAGAAATGACCTTCGGGAATTTTGAGGACTGTAATGCATAGAACCAAGCAGTTTTCTTTAATTATGTTTTCTGATAGGATCTGGGGCTAAATGGGTGACCAGAAAGAGGAACTTTCTTTAGCTGCACTTTTATACAGGAGAAGAATTGTACAATTTCTAGTATCAGCAAATAGGGGATGGTTGCTAGGGCAGTGATTGTCAGGGAATAGAAGAAATGGAGCTGAAGGGGTATGTAAACATTTCAGCAAGAAGTGTCAGAAGAAAGGAACTCAATGAAGATACATGAAGGCAAGGAGAGTTTCAGAAGAGGGATTAAGCTGAAATGGCTAAGGAGTAGGACAAATTTAATGCAAAGCTTAGGGATGAGAATAGGAGAATGGTCCTTCCTGAGAAGTCATCAGTCCAAATTACCACTGGGTGCATCCATTTGCAGAGAGAAGTGACAGGGTCACCAGCAGCTGTTTATATAGGCAAAATGCACTTGACATCTGGAAGAGGTTTGTATGGCAGATCCTTCAAGACAATAGGAGGTGCCTATATATCTGTACAATACAGACTGTACCTTCAAGAGAAACATGCTTTTATTGATATAAACCTGTTAATATGGGGCTATCAATATAAATTCATTTCTGTTTGAGTAAGAGCTGAGCGTCAGAGACACAAAAAAAGATATCTGACTGAACACACTGCTCTGAGGATGTGACAGACCTCAAATTGTGTGCTGCAGCTCTTGGACACTTGCTACAAAGTTGCCAGATATTTACCTGTCTCTATAGAGACAGCCAAAAATACTTTGAAGAATTTTTTCTTTCCCACATAGAAAACAAACAAACAAACAATTCGAACATTTGATTTGATAGTTTTAAAAATTTTTACACAAAACTGGAAAGTTTCTTTTCATACTTCTCCTTACTCTGTTACTATCTTCACTTAAAGTTTTAATTCTTTATTTGTGAGATCATAATCATGCCCATAACAATTATAACCTCAAGTGAAGAATAGTCATTAAAAGTAGATGAACTTAAAATAAACATTTTAAGGATGATTTGCATTGTATTAGAACAGTCTAAGTCAATATAATGACCATTACATCACAATTGCAGAACTCTAGTAATGCAGGGCAAATCACACTCCCATAAACTTTCCGGTTTTCTGTAAATGGCTCTGATTATAAGAAATTATAGAAAAAGCTAACTAAAGATAGGTTTTCTGACACACATATAGAAGTCCTTCTGAACATAAGGATGTACTACAAATTGTCATAGATAGATAGATTTTTCCAAGCCATAAGACAGTGGCAATTTGATTTCTGTGGCCATGTACTCATTTTCAGAAACTCCCGCTAACGAAATTTTAAAAGTCCTACAATATATAAGAGCTTCTTTTAAAAAGTTGGGTGATTTATTTTTAAATGCTTTTGAATTTGAAAATGACTGGCAACAAATCCATCTGTTAAGCAAATGTTTTTATTTACATGTGCCCAGCATCTTCTTTTTAGTCTTTTCAAGTGTAATCATTGGAATACAAAGAGCTCAAGCAACTATCATGAACAAAAGTTCTTGCCTCTTTAACAGGCAAATAGCTTTCCTTCAGCTATTATTGCCCCCGATTTGCTCTACAGAATTTCTTCAGTACAGAAAGCTGTGCTACCTGTGGATTAATTTTGCTTCTCTTTTCAAAAAAAAAAGCCCATCTTGGTGTTCTCAAAGAATGTTAGTAACAAATACAGATCCACTTATAGTGTATTTTTAATACTTAGCAGCATTGCTTAAGCATCACCTTTGAAACTGGCCAATGTAACTAGAAAAAAAAAAGGATGAACGGATTTTGATTTTTGTATTGCATCTAGTTTTTACCTATTTTTGTGATATAGGAAAAATCTGTTGAACAGTAGCTTCATTATTGATAAGAGGTCTTTTCTTTCTTTTTCCAGGCAACTGAGTACTCAGCCATGGCATCATTAGCTGGTGGATTAGATGATATGAAGGCCAGTATAACAAGTCCAACTTCTGCAGATATAGGAACTAGTGTGCCGGGGCCACAGTCATATCCTATTGTAACAGGTAAGGAATTGTCCAGCACTGATAAGTGATGCAGAATATTGTGTGTGTGTGCACATTGCAATGCCTGCCCTTCAAGAAGGGATTGTGTCAGATGTGTAATCATTTGCCCGCAAAAAATCACTGTGTAAATTTACAGCAGACCTGTCTGAAGGTCTGCTGTAAAGGTGTACACATGGCCGTATACACCATGAGTGTTCACCTGAGCTAACAGATGACACATACCATTTCAGCATGACAGGATATACCCTTCCATGAGAACTCCACCTCCTAAATGTGCAACTGAGAAAAAGAACACTTGCTTGTGGCAAGTGCAGAATTTTAAAATTATGTTTCAGAATGGATTGAATTTGAGATACACTTCCTTCGTATAAATGGCTATGTTTTGGGTCACTTCAGGAATTATAATTGTGCACAGGATTGAGCGTTTAGCTGAAAAGTATCTATTTGCTCTAGGAGCACATCATCATCTTCAATTCTTTGGCAGGCATAAGCTGAGCGTCAAAACAGAATTTGCTACATATTATTTGGAAGTGACTACACCAGTTCTGGAAGGAGATGCCCTTCTTTCCACTGCCCAAGTGGAAAGAAAATGACTAAAGTGTATGTCCCCAACATTTCTGTGGGAATTAGGAAGGAGGGCAAGGCAAGGAGGTCGGCAGGAGGTCTGGATAGGAATGATTAGCTGACGGTGTAGCTGATGGTCTAGCTGTTCTAGCTAGAAATGCTGGCAGAGAAATTTTGGCAGCTATTGAGGGTTTCGGAAAAGAAAATCTTGGATTATAAAGGGCAACTGCACTTATTTTTTAAACTTAACTACCACAACTCTAATCCGATATGCAGTGAACATCTTTATACTTGGACATGAAAGCATGAGGAAGACATGCTTCTTTCATCTGCTAGTATGAACCCTTTCAAACAAAACTTTTGAAGAACCTTGAGTTTCTTCCTCAGATCAGGATTCTGTGTACCTGTTATTTGTCAGGTCTTTAAAAGTATCATCTATTCACAGCTGAAATAGTATAGGAGAAACCATTTCTTCTTTATCTTGTTTTCCAAAATCACTAGTGATTTTCTTGTCATACTAGTTATAAATTCTATACTGTAGAGCACTACCGAGCTGGATATCTGTGAAAGCATGACTGACCAAAGAAATTATTCTGCAAAGCTTGTTTTATGTTTTACCTGAGTTCTTGTGACATTATATGAAAAAGTTATAAAAATTGTATACAAAAAGTTGAACAAAAGTTCTAGATGTCATATTTATTAGTTCTCCTTGGGAAGAGAAAACATTTTTATGACAACAAATCCAAAAAAAAAAAAAAAAAGAACTGCCATGTATCTTAAATGTGACAGGACTATAACAAAAAAATGTCTTCAAGGCAATAAGTGTTCATATATTTAACTTCATATTCTTATAAAAAGAGTTTTCTAACACCTGTATTCCTGCATTCATATAATGTAGATTTACACCTATTGTTGTTTGATATATAAATTATATATATTTTAAAAGATTGTTATTTTTCTTCTCTCCATAATGCTTGTCCAGAAATGTAAAGATAACTTTGCTTTCTTAGGTGTAGAGCCAGAGTGAAGGCACATTTGAGGATATAACTCCTACCATAGCTCTGACAAACTAGTCAATTTTCTCCAAAGTATTAGAAAAAAAAGAGTAACAAAAAGCCTCTGAAGGCTTTTAAATTCCTACTTCTTTTCTTCACCTCGTTGCTTACCAAAGTGTTTCAGCTGGTAAGGATAAATTTCTATAAAGCATTCAGAATTTGATGTATAGTTAAGTTAATGTAATGATAGATTTACCTGGTGGACTTTCCAATAGAAGTCACAAAGTTGTAAGTACAGTATAATAACAGTTTTATTATCCAGATACCAACAGCTTCCAAAAATCTGACAAGTGAATTGTAATATACAGAAGAATTTGTGGGAGGAAAACATTTACTTTGCAAAGTATTCTCTTTTGTGTAAAACAGAGCTATGAACATGTGATTATACAATATTTTAACACAGAGTGGGCTAGTGGTGTGCAGAGAGCTTTTAGCCTCATCTTTTGGAATAAAGAACTTGAAATATAGACCTACAAGAGTTTTAGAAACAGGTTCTTTCTTGTGGCCTAGGAAAGCACTTTTGAAAGGCTGAAATCTGCAGTTTTACCTTCATCAGTTTTTATGAGAATCCAGAGAGAGTTCTGGATGGTGTCATTTGCAAAGACACCAAATTCTAGTTAATTTCCTCTAGATATATCATAAGACACTTTAATGTAAATGAAGCTGTGAATCGAAGTCATATGAGCACAATTTTTGTTGATATTATATTTGGGCCATGGTTTCTAGAGTAAAACAATATTGAGAGCGGAGATGCAAAAGATCCCCTGAATATCTGTTGGTGGAAAATGTAAGATTCCCATTTACTATCATGTTGGCAGATCAAAACAGTGGAGATACTACTTGAAAAGGAAAAGACTGCTATACATTGACATTCATGTGAGCATTTTCTGCTGAAATACGAATAAGGAAAACTTCAATGACAGTTCTATGCTTCATCTGTCTCATGTTATGTAACATCATCTGATTCCTCTCCATCATTTTTATGCCACATTAAATATTAGGCCATATAAGAAAAAATGTCTTTTCTTACCGCCATGGTTCATAAGTGCTCTCTATTTGCAATTCAATGACATGCGCCCAGCTCAGTACTGCTGTAGTGAGCATTTTCCTAGCAGTTCTTGATTGCAACTACCTGCAGATGCTGAATTCAGTGTGTTATCTACACTTTGAAAAGACAAAGTAGTGCTGAAACTGATACCTTTGTTTGGTTCTCCAGTACCTCATAGAGAGCAGACTGATAAACTCACAGACATCCCATTTGATAGCTGCTAGGAGAGTCAGCTTTTAGCAGCAGCATCTAGAAGTGACAGTGGATTGACCAACCTGACCTTGCAGAGGAGCCTGAGAAGTACTCCATTTTAGTGGAGTCTGACATGAACCCTTCATTACTCCATTGAAAAAAGTTTCTATAGACAAAACATCAGGAGTGGACCTCCTTTTTTCACAGAATCACAGAATATTCAAGGTTGGAAGGGACCTCTAGAGATCATCTAGTCCAACCTTCCTGCTCAAGCAGGCACACCTACAGCATGTGGCACAGGGTGGCATCCAGGCGGGTTTTGAAGACCTCCAGAGAAGGAGACTCCACAACCTCCCTGGGCAGCCTGCTCCACTGCTCTGTCACCCTAAAAGTAAAGAAGTTCCTCCTCACCTGGAGACGGAACTTTCTGTGCTCCCTCTTATGGCCATTACCCCTCGTCCTATCGCTGGCCACCAGTGAAAACAGCTTGTCCCCTTCCTCCCTGCATTCTCCCTTCCTGAACTTATACACATTAATCAGATCCCCTCTCAGCCTTCTCTTCCCCAGAGCCCAGTTCACTCATCCTCTCCTCGTACGAGAGATGTTCCATTCCCTTAATCATCCTAGTTGCTCTTCTCTGGACCCTCTCGAGAAGCTCCACGTCCCTCTTATACTGGGGAGCCCAGAACTGCATCCAGTGTTCCAGGTGCGGCCTCACCAGAGCTGAGTAGAGGGGCAGGATCCTCTCCCTTGACCTGCCGGCAACACTCCTCCTGATGCAGGCCAGGATCCCATTGGCCTTCTTGGCCATGAGGGCACACTGCTCACTCATGGTTAACTTAGTGTCAACCAGGACTCCCAGGTCCCTCTCCGTGGAGCTGCTTTCAGCAGGTCGACCCCTATTCTGTACTGATGCCTGGGGTTATTCCTCCCCAGGTGCAGGACCCTGCACTTGTCCTTATTGAACCTCAGGAGGTTCCTCTCTGCCCAACTCTCCAGCCTGTCCAGGTCCCTCTGGATTGCAGCACAGACCTCCGGAGTGTCAGCCACTCCACCCAGCTTGGTGTCATCTGCAAACTTGCTCAGGGTGCACTCCGTGCCCTTGTCCAAGTCATTGATGAACAAATTGAACAGGACCGGGCCCAGTACTGACCCCTGGGGGACACCACTGGCCACAGGCCTCCAACTGGACTCGGCCCCATTTATSACCACCCTCTGAGCTCTGCCATCCAGCCAGCCCTCGATCCACCGCACCGTGCACTCGTCTAGTCCACTCTCCTTGAGCTTCCGTATGAGGATGTTATGGGAGACAGTGTCAAAAGCCTTGCTGAAGTCAAGGTAGACAACATCCACGGCTCTCCTCACATCCAGCCAGCCTGTCACCCCATCATAGAAGGCTATGAGGTTCGTCAGACATGACTTCCCCCTGGTGAATCCATGCTGACTGCTCCTCAGCAGCTTCTTCTCCTCCATATGCCTGGAGATTCTCTCTAGGATGAACCGCTCCATCACCTTTCCAGGGACAGVGGTGAGGCTGACCGGCCTGTAATTGCCCGGCTCCTCCCTCTTGCCCTTTTTGAAGACTGGAGTGACGTTGGCTCTCTTCCAGTCCTCGGGCACCTCCCCTGCTCTCCAGGACCTCTCAAAGATGATGGAGAGAGGCTGAGCAATAACCTTGGCCAGTTCCCTCCGCACTCTTGGGTGCATTCCATCTGGGCCCATAGATTTTTGAGTGGCCAGTTTCCCAAAGCGATTCCTAACCCAATCCTCCTCGACCAGCGGAAGGTCTTCCTCTAGCCCATTTACATCTCTTCCATTTGTGCCCTGCAGTTCATGGGGGGTCGTCTTAGCAGCAAAGACAGAGGCAAAGAAGGCATTTAGTACCTCTGCCTTCTCAGCATCCTCTGTCACCAAGGCCCCTTCCCCATTCAGCAGTGCACTAACATTTTCCCTCGTCTTCCTCTTGCTATTGACATACTTATAGAAACCCTTCCTGTTGTCTCTGACATGCTTTGCCACCTCTAATTCCACCCGGGCTTTGGCCTTCCTCATTTCGCATCTGCATTTTTTTATTCCTAAAGCAATGTTTGAATAGAAGAATCTGGTCTTTTCTGGAACCTGTCTGTCACAACTGCGTCTGC